TGGAAAAAAAAAGGAGGGGTGGGGGGGGGGGGGAAGGAAACTTCAGGTTTGACATAAAAATGTGTTATACAAGGGATTGCTTCCCTGGAAATTTTCCTTTCAGTTACAAACCAGATATTCCTGTAAATTTCCAGGGTCCTGGAGCACTTGAGTAGTGCTCGTATAATTAGACACCAATATACTATTTGAGCAATGTTGTCTTCCCCTGGAAGACTTCTGCTCAGAATCTTTTGTATAAGTATTGGGTGAAAATATCCTGAATTTTCTTTTGGAAGCAAATTATTGTTACTGAATATTAGCTCTGTGTATCTATGCTTGTCCAACATTGGCTTAAGCTCTTCTCAGATGAGAGAACTAGCCTGTGTGTATGTTGCCTTTTGCTGCATACTGTATTTTGGAGCACTACACATGGCATGTCTTCCCATCAGACTTCTCTGGATATTGACAATTTCCAAACTGTACCAGTTCACAGCAGTAACCTGGTTAGTATAATATCATATTCTTTGGTGTTGCAGGTAGAGGGATTTTCTTTAACAGCAATTGTATTTCTATGTCATAATATAAGGTGGAATCTGTTTTATGCACTAGGGGTTGCACACAATGACAATTAAGACAGATACTGATGCCATCTTGGCAAAGCTGTTCCAAAAGTTTCTTTTTAGATAAGTGTCTTTAAGGTCCAGGCCCTGTGAAGGCAAGGGGGGGAGAGGGTAAGGACTGAAACACCAAATGTATAGGAGCCCCACGTAAATACAACTTAAAATGTAAAAGCTTTCCAATTTTTTCTCAGATTGTGAACGTGTCACGGTTAGTTGGTGTTGATAACCCTGTGGAGCTGATCTATTTTGTGGAGGACCAAGATGGAGAGAGACTCAGTGCTCTGAAGTGCTCAGACCTGATGAACAGAGTTGATATCCAGCGGGCTGCAATCATCCTTGGATACCGCATTGAAGGCACCGTTGCACAGCGTAAGCCCTATCAAATCCACACTGATGCCAGCAAAGAAAAACAGGAAGGGTGACATTAGCTTTGGAGATTATGGCACTGCACAGTGCCCACTGTTGCAGTGTTTTGTTCTTGGGATGCTGCAATTTTGACACTCCTGAGGAAACAAATTTTAGCGGTCTTGCAGTGAGCTATGTGGTATTGCTTTGCTTCTTGGAGACTGCTGAGCTTGGAGTTGCAACAGGGTCCTTAAGTGCAAGCCTCGCTGCATTTGCTTTAGTGCTTATGCTAGAAAAATACTGTGCTAGGTAGATACCTTCTTGCCATTTTCATCTCTTTCTGTTAGTCCAATATTTCTGCACAGCTTAACTTGCCCAGGAGCTTGCACAAAACTCACTATTGTGGGATGGGAGGGCATCAGAGTGAAATGGGTGTTTCCTTTAGCTGAGTAATGGCAGTGAAGTTTAACACACGTCACTATTTTTTGTTTGTCTGAATCATCGTTTCTGTGAGTGAAAGATGTAGGCTAATGCTAGTTGGGGCATTTTGGAGGGTATAAGCAAAAAGAAACAGTTTCTTTCTTTCCTTGAATATGATTGACCTTATTTTTATTTGTTTGTCCATCAGTAATTGATAAGTAATGTAAACTTTTAATAAAGACAATATAAAAGTAATGCGATCTTTTACTAGAAACACATCAGAATAAATATGACAGGTCGTATAAAATCATATAATGACTTTATTCAGGAAGCTTGGTATATAAATAATTTGCAGTAAGGAGCGAGACAGAAGACCTACTCAAAATTCCATGTTATGATTAGGAAAGAAGCTTGAAAATATTTTAAAACAGTAACAGACATACATGTGATCAACAAAATACCTCATTGATACAACAGCTTAATTACCTTTTTTGTTTTCTGTGCAATTTGGAGGCATGAGTTACATTGTACCACAGGGTATTTTGCCAGTAGAACCAGCATGTGTCTGATTTTTTTAAAATTCTCTTCAGAAAGAAAAGAAAAAATAGTAATAATGGGGCCATCTGGATGTGTTTCTAAATTTTGTCCTTCATTAAAACAGCAGTTTAAAGATAGGTCAGTAGCTCATATACATCTGCTTAATATCTGTTAATGGACTGTAATATTGGTTAGACAGAAATGCAAAAAAGTTGCAAGAATAAATCCCCTTTACAAAAAATAGTAGGTGTTGAACAAACTTTATAGCTTATTCTGCATATTGAAATTTTGACACATCATTAGAAAGTTCTTTTAAGATGCACAGAATCATGGACTTTTTAAAATGTTTCTTTTTATCGGAAGAAACTAGACAAAAATGTTATTTTCATAACAAAATGAAGTGTCATAAATGAACTGTCAGATGTTTAAAATGTAAGAATTATTAAATTTTCCTTTAATCTCTAGGTTCATCATTAGAATGGCTATTAATAAAAATTATACATAAAAATAAGACTGCATAGAGACGCTGTTTTTAATGTGAAAACATCATTTTAAGAAAGTGCATCAGTTTGACTAGAAATGTATTACTGCTGTGGTTTTTAGTCCCACATATAACCACTATGCAAAATAGAGCAAATGAAAGTTTTGTTGATTCTTCCAGTTCATTTTTTACATGCATGACTGGTTTGATTACAGTTTCCAGTAGTTTTTTCTTCTGTTTGGGTCTAAAGGCTCTCAAACACTGACAATGAAACAGTGATAAAAAAAATGCAGAACTATACACCTTGGGGAGGAGGGTCTTACTGATTTCAAATTGACTGTGATTATTGATGGGGAAGGTAACAAAACATATAATGTTTAACTAAAGAGAAGAGGCAGCTGATAATAGTGTTTAAAGCAGGATATAGACAATAAGGTTAGAAAGTCCTTCTCACCTTTGTTGGTGGCAAGTCATTTTTCTGGACCCATTCCACTACATCAGCTCAGTTTTGGGTTACAGAATGATGTGGCAGAAGTGTATTTTCGTTAGTAATTTAAGCACAGGTCTTGTAGGCCAGGACAATCGATCACCTGCCCCATGCTTCCTGAGCATGACATACATTAACTTATAAGTGGTATGACATTTCCTGTGATGTGCAGCTGGTTTCTGATAAACTCTTTAACTACCATTTATAAGAACATAAAAATACATAACCTTGAAGTGTCCTCATTTAAAAATATATAACCACATAAAATTGCTGTCTTCCTTTTAACTTCACAGCTGTGGAGAAGCTGAAGGAGTCCACCTCAGAATCACAGAATAGCAACCTATGGATTATTGTTGGTGTGGCAGTCCCAGTTGCTGTGGTGCTCCTGATTGTTATTATTTTATACTGGAAACTTTGTCGAACGGACAAACTGGAGTTTCAGCCAGACACGATGAGCAACATTCAGCAGCGACAGAAGGTAAAGGGGGAAGCTGTGCTGAGAGGAGCTTGAGTATTCTGAGCACAAATGAGTGTGAGAGTCTAGGGAGCACCTAGCATCCTTAAACAGCATGTGGAAACACAGCTTCTGGGTTTTTTAAAAAAAAAAAGGCGGGGGTGGGGGGGGGAAGTCAAATGATAGTTGAAGTCAAGAATGCCACAGTATTTTATCTGTTCTCCTAGGTATATGATACTGTATTAGATAGATACATCCTTCTGAAAAGTGGGCACTGAGGCTGAAGGGAACCTTTCTTTATCACTTCATTTCAAGGCTTTGGCTAGGACTGAATAAGAGGAAATATGCTGAGTGTTTAATCGCTGACCTTGTTTTCTGCAGAGAGATGAATTTTTCTTTGGAGAGCTTCTGCTGAACTAATTTGACAGCTAAACAGCACCATCCGTTATACCTCATGCTGGAAGTAGAATTGGCTAGAGCCTATCCTTGCTGCTCTGCGTTCTGCCGGGGCTCTTGTGTTGCTGTTGTGAGAGCCTGTTGCAGGACTAGAACTTTAATTAGTGGATCTGCACGAGACTGCATGGGTGAGCGTGTTGGCCGGAGTGTTTGGAGGACTGGGTTAGGATGGTGAGAAATTCAGTAGTCTTGTCTTTTTCCTACACAAGACTGTAAATTAAAAAATATGTGGTCCACAATTTTCACAAAGGATGTATTCAGTAAAAAGGGTGGAAAAGTGACTAAAGGGTTACAAATCCTACTTTTCCTTTTTACAACTGAAGAGAACCAGTCTGTGTGTCAGAGATGCTTATTACTGACTATACCTTCAGAGGCATTATTAAAGGCAAAATAATCTTCCTGTGCTAATCCTCTGGTCCTGTAGTAATGTTCTTGTACTGTCACCTCATGTTCAGTCACACAGTTTTCTCTGTAACAAGTCTTGTCTGTACACCATGCTCTCTTTCAAGATAATTAATGATGTGAAAGATGAGAGAAGCAGAAAGCGGTTGCACTTCCAAAGCAGTCAGAACAAATCAATAGTAACTTCCACTTGTCTTGCCACTGCAGATTGAGTGTCAGAATCGAGGTCAGCAACAAGTGGTACCCTTTGATGAACTTCACCCCATGGTACCTTGTTTCACCTCTGCTGTGGTAATACGTAACGCAGATTTTGATTGAGGAAGTTCCCCACAGTAGTTTCAGTTAATTTGAGAAGGGTCATACAAAAAAGGCAAGAGGGAATTATTACCCTTGGTACACTATTTCATCACATACATTTTTGGTACCTCTCTGCTGTCGCAAGCTTATCTTGAGAAAGCAGTTGGGTTGGGTTGACTGTAAGGCCTGAAACATCTTTCATAGTTTTACCTTCTTTTGGGAAAATGGCTCCGTTGTTTTTCTCCACTGCTTCCACAGCAGTCTTCATTTTAATCATTCATGAGTCAGAAGCCTTGGTCTTGTTTGTATGCGAGTCTCATTTCAGTTTGCCTAGGGAGCCTGTCACTTTGCCTTCTTTAGGGAAGTCACTGTAAGCAAACTAGAAAGAACCAGTAAGGACATCTAGTCCAATCCTTGTGCCAGTGGATAGCTCATATGTTAATACTAAATGAGGTAAAGCAATAAAAAGTGTCTTAAATTTTTATCACTTAGCACATTAAACAACTGGCAGAATCTGCTTTGAAAACCATTTTCCTCTTTTGCCCAAGATCCAGAATAAAAGTAGTCCTCTGGCTTCCTTAGTAGCAGGCTGTCTTTGGGCTTTCTTCATTCCAGCTCGGAATAGGGCATATTTAACAAGCACTGAAGACCCCCAGACAGTCACAACAGCATAGAAATGATTAGGGACAATTGGTCTGGTCCTGCCCTTCAAAATTGTTTGTGTGTTTTATACTTTTTATTACAGTAAATGCAAAGAAATGATCAAAGAAGTGAAATCATGTGGTCAGGGATTTAGGTCTGGAAATAAACTCAGTTTAAAAATGGTCTCAGGCTCCCCCTTCCTCACCCCACGCACAATTATTTCCATTCCCTCTTTACAGAGCTTGACTTTGGTACCAAAGGGAAGTGAAGGCCTGCACTGCATCTGTAGATGGAAAGATATTTAGGTTAAAGAGCTGCGTTTTTCTCTTGGAATCAATATTTCATTGGTAAAAACCATAAAAATGCATTTGTAGTGCTAGCTCTTCTCACTTCTATTAATCTTTAAAAAAATTTCTTTTAATGTAAATATAGAAATGGAAGGTATAAATATCAGAGTATTTCCTTAACATATGCATGGCATATCCATACTGGAAATAGAAGACAATTCTTTTCAACCATGTAAGAAGTCTACAACGTGTTTCGCACTTGAAAATGTGTGTTGGTTGGAAGATAAGAAACTGAGACACCCTTTTCTTGTTCAGATGAAATAGGATATCATACTGCACTGGTGGATCTCCAGAGGTATGACCAGTCTTTTTCAGTGTGTTTAATTAGCCACTTTAACATAGCAGATCAGTGGGCAGCATGATAGTCTGTTAGAATTCACAGTAGCAGCTGATAGCAAATTACATCACCTGTGACTTAAAAGCCTAGAACAAGGTTGGGAGTGAGGGGAAACCCTGCTTGCTTCACACTGCTGAGGAAAGACTTTGCCACTATAAGGTTGGTTCCTTGAAACATCGAGAGAGAACTTCTGTAATGCACAGTAATGCAGATTACCTAAGTAAGACATAAGTTTTGCAGGAGCTTTTTAGCCTCAGTTTTGAGTCTGGTTTACAAATTTGTGGTTTTCCCTTCACAGAGATGCTTTAAAGACACTACAGATTTTCCTGCATTCTATGTGTCATACTAGTATCATCTTTTCTTTCTTCTTTCTTTTCACTTAATCACTTAATGCTGGTTTTAAGCTCCTGCTTTTTCCTGAAATATTTTGATACGCACTCAGACAATATAACTACTTAAGTTTTAATTTTAATCTTCTGTATGTAAATGTTTCACAGAGTAGGTATGATTTCTGTGTTCCTATGACCACCATTAAAAGTAAATTATAAGCTGCATTACCCTCACAGTCTATGTTCTGGTGAAGTAGACCAGTACTATTATCTGCTGATAATAAGAGCCTATATGCCTTTTGGGTGTGCCCCAAGGGTATGGTTCCCCATGTACACATCAGTGAAGTAATGATCACCAGGTAGTTGCATTACGCAACAATTCAGTCATACTGGCCAGCATATCATGCCAGCACAACTAACCTGCTTTGGTGCCTTATCTGCTCTGTGGACACTCCTTTAGAATATTTGGGGCACAGTCCCTCACTTGTGACTGTCAATTAGAGCGTATTTCCCACTTCAGCAGGCATGGCTGTGTTGAAAAATATTCAGAGCCTACGGTGACAGACCCATAGAAGTAGCCAACATTGCATCTCTATTTATATGCCATAGCAGCCCTGAAGTTGGGCTTGAGTCCAGATTTGCTGCTTGTCCCCACACTCGGGGCCAGGTCACTCTCAAAGATAATATAGATAATAGCAAAGGTAGTGTTTCTTCTAAGGTGATGACATGGACAGGGTAGGCTGTATTCAGCAAAGGCCTGTTCTGCAGACTGGGTGCACCATGCCACTCCAGCAGTGTCAGTTCTCTCCATCTGGCCTTCTAGTTTCGTCGCAGGATCAGTGTCTTGCAGACAGGATGGCAGGATGGTGTAAGGGTCCTTAAAAAGGCTCATGATGTTATCTTCTGCAAAGGATATACAGAGAACCTGAATACTAAGGGATGTTTTACTTCTGGATAGTCTCAGAAGTCTACTACTTAAGTGAATGTAACCATAAATACATAGGAAAGAAAACTTTTGTGGGAACTGATGCTAGCAAAACCAGGTTCGAAGAGAAAGTAATTTAAAAAAAAAAAAAAGAGACTCTGATTAGCTAATCCATCCCTCTGCCTCAAAGCAGGATTAACAATACCTGAAAAATATTAGGTTACCTTTTTCATTCTGGAGATTAGATGGGAAAACACGTTTAGATCAAAGTTATTTGGACCCTTTTTAAACTGGGAGCTAAGGAAGCAGGTCAGAGCAGTGAATTTCTATGCAAGATTCATTGGTCTGTGCAAGGATAATTCTTTTCAAGATGGAACTAAGATACTTAAAGGGCACATCAAGTATTCATGACTTGTTCTGTAAGCTGGAACATCCTACTGGAAATTCACCTTGATGTGATCTGGGCTGTTGCACTGGATAAAGATGTCTTTGCCTTTGGAAGTAAAAAGATGCATAAGTGGCATTTTTAAATTACAGGATTCTCTCTTGCAGTTGCCTATATCCACCACCACATTGTCTCAGCCTGAGCTTTTTTTCTTGCAAAGAAGCTGTGCCTTTTGTGGGCAATTGAATTTTTGCTGTGGGTTATTTTTCTTCTTCATGAAAAAAAAAAGGATAAATGTCTTTAATGCCCAAACCATCATTCTGCTCTGTACTGGACTACTGACGTTCTTATGCGAAAACACTGTCAACCCCTTTCCTCTTCCCCAGAGACGAAAAGAATATTCTACATATTATCTGTAATGTAAACAGAGTTGGCAATATTACTTCTTTCTCTATGGACATCCAAAAATTAAAATGGAACCTGATTCACTAGGGATTTCACTTTCCCTGCTGTGTACAAGTATTTGGGGAAAAAAAGTCAAATCCTTTGCTAGGACTTTTCAGAGGTAGTTTCAGCTATAGACAGTTATTCATGGAAAGGTTCCGTGCCCTAATGACAAGAATCTCACACCTGTGGAGAAGCTCATTGATGGTTTATTTAGAAGGTCTTGGATGTTGTCCTGTAAATGCTGGGCATGCTGAAGTCATTGCCTTTGCAGTGCTAACTTGGACCAAGTTCCTTACTCAGCTTCTAGATTTTCCAAGGCCACATCCTAAAAACCTAGGAGGAAAAAGTCTACTTCTCCAGCCAGCAGTTGCTCCTCTCTGGGGCCCTCTGCATGCCACTATGGTTCCTAAAGGCTGAACATCTCTTTCCAGCTCAGTGCCCCTCCTGTGTGTTCACA